AAAAAAAAAAAAGAGAGAAAAAAAAAAATCAAAACCAAAACAAAAAAAAAACCAAAAAAAACCCCCAAATAAGGCAGCTTCATAACACAACTTCTCTTTTACACTTTTAACAATATAGTTTCTCCCATTTAGAATAAATATACATCCAATGTACGGAGCAGGGTTAAAAACTGGACACGGGTCGGGTGCGGTTTTCGCGTTGTTCTTCCTTCCTCTCTCTGTCGGGAGGGCGGCGGGTACAGTATTATCTCTTGGGGCCGGGCGTTTTCGGGGTGGCAGCGGGCGTTTTCTTGGACATGGTGGGGATTTTGGAGGGTTTGGCGGCGGCGCGGCGCGAGCCCTGCCCGCCGGCCGCGCTGCTCTCCGAGGTGTCCGAGCACGCCGACTGCGTCTCCAGCACGTCCAGGTCGGAGGCGTCGCTGCCCCGGCGGCTGCTGGCCCGGCTCCCGGCGCGGCTCCCGGCGCGGCTCGTGGGACGGCTGGCTGCTTTCTTGGGGTCTGCAGGGAGAGCCCAGGGAGCTGGGAGGGAGGTTCTGGCTCCTGAGACCCCAGGGTTTGTGAATCCTGAGACCCAAAGGTTTGTGTCTCCTGATGTCCCAAGGTTTGTGTCTCCTGATGCCCCAAGGTTTGTGTCTCCTGATACTCCCTAAGGTTTGTGTCTCCTGAGACCCAAAGGTTTGTGTCTCCTGATACTCCCTAAGGTTTGTGAATCCTGATGTCCTAAGGTTTGTCACTCCTGATGCCCCAAGTTTTGCTCCTCCTGATTCCTTAAGTTTTGTCACTCCTGATGCCCCAAGTTTTGTTCCTCCTAATGCCCTCTGTTCCTCCTGATACCTTAAGGTTTGTTCCTCCTGATACCCTAAAGTTTGTGTCTCCTGATAACCCAAGGTTTGTCACTCCTGATACCCTAAGGTTTGTTCCTCCCGATTTCCTTAAGTTTTGCTCCTCCTAATGCCCTTTGTTCCTCCTGATACCCTAAGTTTTGTGTCTCCTGATGCCCTAAGGTTTGTCACTCCTGATGCCCTAAGTTTTGTGTCTCCTGATACCCTTTGTTCCTCCTGATACCCTAATATTTACTCCTCCTGATGCCCTTTCTTTCTCCTGGTACCTTAAGTTTTGTTCCTCCTGGTACCTTAAGTTTTGTCACTCCTGATGCCCCAAGTTTTGTTCCTCTTCATGCCTTTGTTTCTCCTGATGCCTTAAGTTTTATCACTCCTGATGCCTTAAATTTTGTTCCTTCTGATGCCCTTTGCTCCTCCTGATGTCCCAAGTTCCTCCTGATATCCTGTTTTACTCCTCCTGATGCCCCAAGTTTTGTTCCTCTTCATGCCCTAAATTTTGTCCCTCCTGATGCCCTTTGTTCCTCCTGATGCCCTGAATTTTGTCCCTCCTGATGCCTTCAGTTTTAGCTTTTGTGTATTCCAGATTCTGTACTGTATCAGTGTAGAACTCTGAACTTTTACATATAGTGGTGACAGACAGCTCAGGCACACAAAACAATCAATTTCCAGCCCCAGAACCACGGGCACCACTGCAGCTTCAGGCCCAAAAAGTGCAAACAACAGGGAATTGAGGAGACCAATCTGGGAGGATGGGGCTGCACAACCTGGAGTTGGAATTGGACAATTAACCCAAATATTTAAATGGGCCAAACTTATAAAAGTGTGAGAACTCATGACTCGGGGTCCATCTTGGGTGGAGGCACGGCCAGGCTCTCGTGCTGCCCAAGCTGTATCCTATAAAGGCCTTTTAATAAATCCTTTATTCCTTTAACTCTGTTCCAGGGAGCCTCTCCAGGCATCACTCCCCCATCCCCAGATCCACAGCAAAACCCCCAACCCCTCTCTGGGTGCTTCCACCAGCACCCCTGAGATGGGATGTTCAACATCTGATTCCTTCCCAAATTGCAGCAATTCCTTGGAGTGCAGAGCTGTCCCAGCATCTCCTCCCCCACCGCCCATCCCTCAAATATTCTGTATTTTCTCCACTGCGCCGGGGGGGAGTTTTTCCATCTTTTCCCCTCACTCACCTGCCCGAGTGGCTTTGGCACCTGTCGAGGCGGGTGAGGAGCTGTTACTGGTGTCCCCAGCCAGGGAGGTCCTGCTGGAGTGGAAGGTGGGGCGCTTCAGCTTGCTGCCCGCCGAGGGGGTCACCTTGGGAGGAAGCACACACAGGACATCCTTCAGCTGCCACCTGCGCTGTGACGGGCCCAGGTCACACCCCAGATCACATCCTCAGCAAAAATCTGGGCACTTAAGGAACCCCCATCTCAACGGTCAGGGAAGGCACCAGCTGCTCTTTCAGTTTCGGTTCCCTTATTTATAAAATAAGGGAAAAGCCCAAAGGCTGAAAATTTGGAGGGGAACGGCAGTGTGTGAGGTGCAGGCTGATGAAAGGGAATTTGTTGGGAAAAAGAAAATCCCAAGCATCAGCTGGGCTTGAAACTTCCACGAGGGGAATATGGAAAAACAGGGATTTTAGAGTCCAAGCAGCTCAAGAGCATTTTGGAAGGTCAAGTCCAACTCGGGATCTGGAGTAGCACAACCCATTGTGGGCAGAGGTGCAGGGACACCCTGGTGCTGATGTCCACACCCAATGCCCAGAGGCAGCCAAATTGGAGAATTGATGGACAGGGACACAAAGCACAGCAGATGAGCTCTGGCTGCATCCCACAACGGTGCCTTTTCCCGACCTTTGAGGTGTTGGAAGTGCAGCTGGTGTGGGGTGAAGCAGCACAACAGGCAACTCTGCTCCCACCGCTGCTGCAGGAAGCCAAGGGGAAGGTGCCAGCAGGGCGAGGGCACCTGGATCCAGCTGGAAAAGGCAGCTCCAGTTCCAGTTCACCATCCCAAGCTCTGGGTTTGGGGCAGTGCTGCAGGAAAGCTCCTGCCTGTGGTGTCCCCAGCCCTGGGGGTTTTAGTATCCCTGTATCCCTGGAGAGATGGACACAGATCCCAGAGGGCATTTCCCACATTTCCCTGCGGACTTTGTGATTTTTGGGAACCTCAGAAATGTTGGAATGTGATGAAACTGGAGCTGCAAGGGGAGAGGGGCAGCTGAGGGAATCAAAATCCATTAGCACGCGATTTTCGAGGTACCATTGTCATCACCAGAGATTTCGATTCTCATCCTTGATCCTATTTTAAAATAGGCAGCAAGCATCAATTTGGGGCAATTGGGGAAATGCTCCTGACCTCGAGGTCAATCAAATGAATCCATTTTCCACATGGAAGCACCGCTGAGCAGGACACAGTCACCTCACCAGAGCAGTGAGCCACCGGGATCTACCCGGTGCTCCTCATCACCCACTGGCAAGGGCAGGAAAAGTCCACGAGGAGGCTGAAAACTTTAGGGAAACCAAAGTCCCAGCCCAAATTCATCCTCCTGGGAGCATCAAGGCGGTGGCTGGACACACCAGACGTGCTTCAACACGGTGATAAACACAAGCTCTCCATAAAACTGAGGCGGTGTGCTTACGGTGCATGCGCTGTAGCTGATTTTCAAGTCTCAACTCGGCTGCTGGATTTCAATTTTTGGGAAGCCAAACGCGGCCCCTTTCCAATAAAACTCAGAAAATTAATAAATTTTTCAAAGCACCAGAGGATTAACACGGTCTGGAAGCGGGCGAAGGTGGATTGGAAAGCGTTGTGCTTCACTCTGAAGCCGACATTTTAATTTTAATCCGAGTTGGAGACCCATGAAAAACGCCAACAGTCGGAGCGTTAGCGGTGCTACAAGCGCTGCTCTAGCACGAGGAAAGCGTTAGGAGCAGGCAGGGCAGTGGGGTGGCTCCGTGCCAGCCTGCCAGCAGCTCCCTGGGGCTGGCAGACCATACTCTACCTCGGCGCTCGGGAGCTGGAAGTCGGAATAATCGATTCCCCTCAGGGGGGTGCCCGCTTTACTGTTTATCAACCAGGGTTTGTCATAACATCGGGAGAAGTGGTGTGGAGTCTGTGAAATGGAAAAGCCAAGGAAAGGGTGGGGAGAGGTGGGATGAGTGGTAAAAAAATAAAAAAATAAAAAAAGAGGAATGGGAGAGTATCCGGAAAACGAGGGGGGGAACGGCACTAAAATGGAGCAGAATTGTATAAATTAAAATAAAGGGAAGAAACCCAAAAGGTGATGAAATAATGACATGGTGGGGAAGGAGAGATGAGGGGTGATGGCTTCCTCCTGACACCACAGCCCTGCCTCGGGCACCAGGAGCCTTCGGCCGCACGGCGAGCGCTGGGGACGCTCCTGTGGAGCCACGGGGATCCAAATCTGGGCTGGAAACCTGGAAACCTGCAGCATCCCACCCCCGCCCCACCTGGACACCAAGGAGCACCTTCTAGAGCCCTCCATAATCCCCCACGCCCCAACCTTCCTCCTCCCTACACCCGCAGCTCCTCAGCTGGGTTTTGGAGAGCAGCGGTTTCTAAAGGGAGGGGGAAGCTTCAGCCCTGTCCCCACCTTGGCTCCGCTGGCCGGAGTGGCCGGAGAGGAGGGCATGGAGGCGCAGCTGTGGTTGCTCTGGCTGGCGCTGGAGCTGGAGCGGGTCGGGGAGGCAGCCCGGGAGGAAGGTTTGGATCTCCGGCCCCGCGAGCGGAACGGGGTCATTCCCTGCGAGGCTCCTTCGGGCAGGATGAACTTCTCCCGCAGCTCCAGGTTGGTCCGTCCTCGTGCTGGAAGGGGAGAAAGGAGGGGAGAGCTCAGCCTGGGAGGGACCCGACATCCTCAGCGGGGCTCAGGAGGCTCCAGGGCTGGGAGCAGCTTCCTTGGGCATCTCCCCACACAGCGAGGCCACCCTGGTTCTCCTGCTCTGCCTTAAAGCCATCTCCTGCCATGGATCAGCTCTTTGAGAAACTGGCTGATTAAAAGCTGCCCCAGGGCCTGGAATTCACACGGGACGCTCTGTTCCTCTCATATGGAAAAGCATCCCGATGGCCTTTACCTCACCATGTCACAGTGTGATCTTTACCGTGGCTTACAAACAGCAAAAGCAGCTTTGAAGGGTTGAGGCTCCTGAGAATCTGAGAGAGATTCTGCTCTCTCACAGCTCTGGGCAGCTCTCCATGAATTTTTTGGGGAGAGAGGAGAGCAAACCACCTTCCCAACTTTTCCAACCAGCCATCGAAAACCGATTTTTCAGAATCCTTCATCCAAACGCCTCAAAGAGCTGGAGGGTCTCCCTTTGACAAGCAAGGGGCAACCAAGCAGGGAGAAGGTCTGTGGACTTCAGCTGACGTGTGCCAGAGTGCTTCATGCTCAGGGGTTTCAAACAGAGAGCCAGGGCATGCACCGAGCCTTACGGGACACCGGGGGGATTCCGGGGCCGACGGATTATGGACCAGAAAGCCAAGAAAGCAAATTGCAGGAGGGAAGCACCACGCTGAGATAGGCAAGGGATAGCAACAACCTCGATGTCAGCGCTGCAGAACATCTGCTGCAAAGCGTGAAGGAGCAGGAAAACCCTGAGGGCTCTCCCCGGAGCTCGCTGTAAATCCCGCTGCTCTCAGCAGCAGCCGTCGGGCAGCCGGAGCACGGAATGCAGCAGCTTGAACAAGACACAGCCGAAGCAGTTAACATCCCTGAGACCCCAGGGAGACGTGGAGCACTCACCAAAACTCGCTCCACTCCTGGCCAGCCCCTGGCTAATCCTGCTCTGTCCCCCGGGCATGGCTCTTGTCCAGCCCAGTGGCTCTGACCACTGCCAAACCTCAAGGTTTTGGGGAGGAGGTGACCCCAGCTCCGCTTGCTGAGGTGTTAAAACCAAGGAAAACACAACCCTTCCCTCTTTCCCTGGATAAACGCTGCCAGGTTAGCTGCAGCACCACCAAATCGGGTGATTCCAAATTCCTGGTTTGCTTCGGATCTGTTTTCTCCAGCTCCTGCCCACGCTGGTCACCCAGCCACAGCATCCAAACTCCCCTGGGTGGGTGAGGAGACCCTGACTGCACCCAGCCTTACCTCTGCACGGGTCATTCTTCACTAGGAACTCGTCCAGGGCCATCCATCCTCCACCCACACGGACCATGACCGTGCTCCTCAGGATCCGGACCAGCCGCAGCTGCTGGGAGTCGCCGAACTGTGGGGAGAGGAGAAGGTCAGGGAGAGGGGAACAACCAGGGCAAGGCGGCTCCTTCCCTCCCCAGGCTGCACCAAAGGCTTTCATCCACCTATTCCACACTTTAAAGGCTTCTCCAGACAGGTTCTTCTGGAATAAGTGAGAGGTAATCCCAATTGATGAGTTTAAAGATGATGTAAGCAACCCAAATCCTTTAATTTTAAAGCTGTTTGTTTGGTTTTTTTTTTTAGAGCAACAAAGGAGATTTTAGATTTTGGAGTTGGATGGGTTTTCTCAACCAGAATTCTAGATGTTTTTTTTTCTCTTTTTTTCTGGTGAAGGAAATAGAGGCTGGCAATGCCCTGACCCTCCTGGTGCAGCCCACGTGGGAAGGAGCTGGCTGATTCAGCAGGACAAGCTGAGCCAGACACCTCTGATCACCACCAAGTCTGAAATCCAGGGATTCCCCTGAGCCTCAGGCTTGACCCCACCAGCCACAAAGCCCCTGCTGCAGCAATTGCCCAGTGAGGATGTTTGGATGAGCGCAGAGTGATGGGAATCCAGGCAGGAACCCCCAGCAATGTTGATTAGTGATTGTGATGCTCATTAGTGGCTTGAAATGCCTGTGGTATCAAAAAAGTGCGCCCCAGATCAAAAGGGTGTGTTTATAAAGCTCCCCTAAATCTCCTGGACACCCGAGCCCAAGGCTCCTGGGTGTCTGCCAGGCATGGGAGGGACATGGAGAGCCTGGCAGGGATGTGGCAGCTCTGCAGAGCACCTGCTGCCATGAGGAGAAGGAAAACCAGGTCTTGTGCAAGCAAGACCCTCCCCAGAATGATTTAAAAAAAGGGAAAAAAAAAAAGCCCCAAATAGGAACATTTTCTGTGGGTGGAGATGCAAAAAAAAAAAGCAGATTCAATGAAAACAGAGAGTGCAGAGTGACTGGGATGGGTCAGGGCAGGAGGTGACATCTCTGACCCGCAGGGACACGGGACCTGGACCATTGGTGGATCTCCCTGCTCCAGGGTCCTACCAAGCTGTCCTTGTCTCAGTTAAAGAGCTGCCACTGTGCTCACAGGCAGGAAAGGGAGCAGGGAAACTTTTTCCCTCTCTCCAGGCTCTCCATGAGATGTCCTTCAAAAGCCAACCCCGGGGATGAATCAATTCTCGTTATTTTTCAATTTTTGTTGTAGACATTTCTATAATCACTGCCTAAATGAAAGCCAGGGATCTCAGGAGTCATCCACTTCCAACACCCAAGTTTGTTTCATTCTGGGCATCTTTTGGGGCATCTTTTTGGGTGGGCACCATCACTGCATGTGAAAAAGAAGCTTTTTTTCATCTGGGCAGGGGCAGTGGGGACGTCAGAGGGACACAGGGCGCTCCAACCCTGTTCAAAAAGGGGCTGGATTATCTCAGGTCACGACACTCTCAGGATTCATGCAGGTTCTGGAGCCCCAGTGAGGAGTTACTCAGTGGGAGTAGCAGGGATGAGGGTTTAGTTGTCCTACAGGATTACTCAGCGCTCTCATTCCATGGTGATTGCAGTCCAAACCCACCCTGAGCCTGGTGCAGGTTGTGCCCCCTGGGCTGGCTGTGCCCCTCAGGAGGACACATCCATCTGTGCCCCAGTGATTCACCACCATGAATATATCCAGGGGAGGATCCCAGACAGAAAAATCTCTCTGCTTTTGCCAAATCTTGCTTTTTCCATCGAATTTTTTCCTCATTTTTTTCTGTCCAAATTTTTTTTTTTGGGGGGTGGCACTCCTCTGTACCAGGCTCTGCTGAGCAGAGCTCCCAGATCACATCCTCCCACAGCACCACAGCATCACAACACACAGAGCTACAGTGGTTAAAAGAATTCCAGAGGTGAGACACAGCACCACAAGGTAAACTAAACTGTACCTGATTGCCGAGGAAGAACTATGGAGGGACAGGAGTGGTGTAGGGAGGGGGAACGGGGAGAGGGGAGGAAAGTCCAGAGGAAGAGGAGGGGAAAGAAAAACAAGAAAAACATTTATGGGATTAACAGTGCAATAATCATGAAATCTGTTAACTGCAGGAGTTAGAAATCTGGGGGGGTTTGGGCTATTTGGGGGGGAAGGAGAAGCTCTGGGAGCTTGGGGCCGGCGCTGCCGGAGCAGGATCAGCTCCTCCCTGCTGGAACATCAACCCAAACCCCAGCTGGGGCAGGAAAGTGGGAATTCCGCCACCACTTCACCTCGGGGAAGGGTTTGAAACACAACCAGCAGCTGGTTACAAAGAGATTCTGTCAGGAAATTATTCTCCCTTCTTCGGGAGCGAGCTAAGAAAAACACAGGCACAGGGAACACTCATCCAGGAGGGAAACTTCAAGGGCGGCTCCGGCCGAGTGAATGCGGCGTTTCACGGGGGCCCGGGCTGCCTGCCCCAGAACAGGGACACTTTTATGTTCTCCCAGCTCAGGGAACGCCCTGGGGCCAAGGATGGAGCTGGGAAAACACATCCCAGCCACCTCTGCCAGCGCCGGGGGATGAGTGTCTGCCTCACCCCGCGTTCCCCCCGTGCCAAGCTGGGCACCCCCTGGGTGATGCCCCCTCCCTTGGTAGGAAAAAGGAGGATTTGGGGAGGTTTCCAGCCCTCTCTGCCTTACCCGGTATTTGTTCTCGCCGATCTGCTCCACTTGGAATCTCTTGGCACACTTGCACTGGGCCACTTGCCTGGTGACCTGCCAGCACCAACACGAGAGGTGAGGAACCAGGATTTTGGGAGTGTCCCCCAGTACAAATCAGTGCTCGGATAAAACAGCCCCAAGCAGCCTTTCCTTCTAAAACACGTTCACTTCCAACCAATTAATTTGGCTCAGCACCACCAAAATCCTCTTTTGATCGAATCTTTCTCTTCCCCACTGCCAACCCGCAGCCTGAACCACCCCCAGCCTTGCTGAGCACCCCCTTTTTTTGGTGCTTCACCTCATCCTCGATCTTGTCAGCATCAGTGGTGGGTCTGTAGGCGTCCTTGTTGGGATGCAGGGCGGCCACAAACTCGTAGTAGTCGATGTAGCCGTCACCGTCGCGGTCGAAGATATCGGCCACCGCCGTCATCTCCAGCTTCGTGGTGGGGAATTCTGGAAGGAGGAGGAAATGAGGAGGGGATGAGCTCCTCCATCAGAGCCAGGCATGCAGGAGCAGCAAGGCTGTTTCCCAGGGACTCACTGGAAGCCAGGATGCCGTCGATGAATTCCTGCCGGGTGATCTTCCCGTCCTGGTCCTTGTCGATGCGCCGGAAGAAATCCATCACCCGGGACTTCTTGTGGTTCATCCAGCGCATGTACTTCTTCCTCCAGACATCAAAGTCGAAGTTTGCAAACTCCTTCAACTGCAAGGAAAGCCCACAGAGAGTCAGTGGGGGAAATCCCCAAGGAGCAACGCTCACCAACCACCCCAAAACGCCTCGGGTGAGCTCCCGACCGCCCTGCCCGCCCTCCTGGGAAGGTTTAATTGGATTCATCCAGACAATTCCCAGCACAGGGCTTGCCCAGACTGAATTCCCAGCACAGGACACAGAGCAGAGCCGACAGGCAGCACGTGGATTGTGCATCCCAGGAGCTGCTGCGGGGACACACAGGCGGGGAGGATCAGCTACAGGCACACAGACACACACACAGCCCGTCTGCTCCGCCTTCTGGGGAGCCTTCCTCACCCCAGGGGCTTGCCAGGGAGGAATTCCCACTGCCAGCATCAATCTGGGCACGGATCTCCCCTCTCCCTCTCCCTCTGAGCAGCCAAGAAGGGATTTCTTGCTCGTCTCCCAGCTCCACAAGTCCCAGCCAAATTTAGACCCTCCAATTTAAACACCCATCTTATCTCCCCACCCCAAAAGGACCCCACCAGCTCAAGCAGCTCACATAAAGGTAAGACAACAATTTTAAGTTTGGTTTTGTTGTTTTGTTGGTTTTTTTTTGTCTCTAAACACTTTTGGGGTGAAAAGCAACAAAGAAAAAACATGGATACGAAGGAACTACACTGACCTACAGCAAAAGCAACAGAAAACAACAAAAAAAAACCACTCACTTCTGGGCATAGCTGCTTTGTTAAGCATAAATAAAAACAAAAATGACATTAGATGGTTGGATAAAATAGAGACAGTAATTATCAAACTAATTACTAGGAGAAAAGCAGGGTCTGGCTGTCATTAACTCTACAGATACCAAATACAGGGGCACAAAGCTGGTTAATGTGCAGTTAATTACTTAATTACCAAAAGGTTTTTAGCCTTAATATTTGAGGAATATTTGATTTCTGAAAAGGCAGCAGGAACTGTCTGCAAGAGCTGGGGCAGCACTGATTTTAAAATGCTTCTTGCACCTCTCTGGGGATGAACTCCCAGCTCCCACCCTGCCCAGAGCAGCCAGGGGTTGTTACCTCCTCCAGCCTGTCCAGGGCATCGTTGAGCTTCCTCTGCCTCTCCAGGGCCAGCAGCCAGACCTGCTGCCAGCGGGCTGAGAGCTGGTTTATCCTGGGATTCTTGGTTTCAGACTGGGAGATAATGGGCATGCTGGGGGGAGCAGCCTGCCCCAAGCACTTCCCTGGGAAAAAAAAGGGAGAGAAGCTGTTTGAGGTGCTGAAGAGCAGCAGAGAAATGTGGTTTGGGTTTTTTTTTTGGAAGGGAAAACCTCCCACGGCCTTGCTGGCTGCTGTCCCCCGGTGGGAGGACAGGGTGACAGACAGCTCTACACCCACATCCCCCAACACTCAGGAATTCACACTGGACTCTGGCTTTGAGAAACCACATAAAAAGACCCCAAAACTTCATCCTAAAGCAACTGCAGAGAATGAGAGAGAGAGGGGAGCAGTGCTGGCCCCAGCACCCCCAGGAACAGCACACCCAGCACGGCTGTTTTGGGAAATGTCACCTGGATTCTCCCCTCCCGACGAGGCTCAGCCGCCTTCCTGGTGGCTGCTAGTGCAGGATGCCTTGTTAATTGATAATCACAGCTAATTAGCTTCCTAGGAATTTCATTTCCTGCCATCCCAGGACCCAAAGCAGACTCACTGTTGCTGCGGGATTTGTCGATGAAGGGCCCGTGGGGAGGCTCAGTCGCTTTTCTTTTGTAAGTTTTCGTCACCCGGTCCACGTCCGGCTGTTTCCGTGTCATCTCCTCCATAAAGGACTGTCAAAACACAGAAAAGAGGAAAAAAAACTTTGCAATTTCAGCCTTTTTGGCTTTCCAGCCCTCACTGGGACGTGCCAGGCCTGCAGAGGCAGGTGAACATGGAGCCCCAGCGATTGGGGATTGTGGTTGAGCCGCTGCTCAGAGCTGCCTTGGATTTGCCCGGAGATGATCCCTGGGCTGGTTTTGCTCCAGCTGGGAAGAGGGAATTCCAGGAGAAGGCAGTGCCTCCTCCACCCAGGGAGCCAGGGGAAGCCTCCCTCCCCTGCCCCTCTCCCGAGCTCAGATCGGGGCTCACCTGGTGTTCGGAGATGAGCGCTTTGACCTGATCAATATTCTGGGGCATGGGGTCCTGGTCCCGCTGGATCAGGGTGGTCTCAGCCCACTGGATCCAAGCCAGGAGCTCCTCCAGAAGCTCTGCATTGGCCACCAGCTCGGAAAGCGCCGACTCCAACCTCTGCTGGTGCTGCTTTGCCCACGTGAGAACCTGTTGGGAGCACGGGGTGAGCACCCGGCGTGGGAAACCTGGAGCAGGACCCACCACTCCCTGGAAGCAGCAGCAGCCTGGAACCAGCCCTGCAGGACTCACCTCCTCGAACCTGGCTCGGATGATGGTGATCCAGTGCTTGATGGTGGTGATGCAGTCGGGGTGGCAGGCGCCCAGGATGACCTCGCCCATCGCCACCGCCGCGTTCACGTCCACCCTCTTCTCCTCCACTTTCTTCATGAACTCCTGCAAGCCCCAAAGGAGTAATTTGCTGATATTCCCCCCTCTAAACTTGGCCTGGGTTGTGCTTTGGAGCTCCCCCTCACCTTGTGGGCATCGATGAGGGCCTGCAGGGCCTCGGCGTCGTCCGGCAGCGCTCCCCGAAATCGCAGGGACTGCTCGGCTTCCGAGAGCCACTCCAGCAGCATGTGCACGGCTGTCCTGAACTCCTCAGCCTGCAGCAACAGCAGCACAGGCTTTTGTCAGCCCTCCCCCTCCCCAGACAGGCTGCTGCATTCACTCCTGCCAGTGACAACACTCCTGGAGTGACAACAGGGCTGAAAAGGGCTTTAAAAGCACATTAAAAATGGGGAAAAAGCTGTTTGGGGCTGGGGTTTGGGCTGCCGGGTCCTGCAGCACTCTGGCACCTCCCTCCCCTCAGCATCAGCAGCACTGAAGAAGGAAATGTTTTTAAAAACAGCACAAGTGCTGTATCCTGAGCAATTTGGCACCTGGGTAGTTTATTCTGTAAATTGCCTACTTGAAGTAAAAGCTGCTTAAGAGCCTTTGACCTTTTTGGTTGTTTTTTTTCATTTTTTTAGCTTCAATCGAGTCTCTCTGGACACTGGCAAACACCGGCCTGGCCTGTCGTGCACATCAGTGAGATCTTTCCATCCTCCCTTTTCAAACCAGCCTTTATCTGCTCATTTTTTTAGGAAAAACAACCAGTGACAGGCTGATACCACCCCACTGCTTCGCAGGAACCACTGCAGGGCTGGCGTGTCCTGCCTGGAGAAGGCAAAACCTCTTCCCTGAGCTTGGTGTGGAACAAACCTGGAGGCCCAGCAAGAGAGTTTTCCTCCTCACCTGCTTCAGGGCCTGCTCCAGGCGGGTTTGCTTGGACACAGAGAGCTTGCACACCGTGTCCCAGCGGTTGCTGAGCTCCTGCAGCTGCACCTTCACCCAGGTGGTGTCGTCCCGGCTGTTGTCGATGAGCTCCCGGCCCGAGCGCTTCAGCACCTGCACGGTCCCCGTGCGCTTCCCCAGCTCCTTCTGGAACACCTGCATGGACACAGCAGAAGCTGAGCAAGGCCAGGCAGCTCCACTCCTGTCGCCTTCCCAGTAAGGTGGAAGTTCTTCCCGTTTTTTGGATGTTTTTTCTCCCCTTTTTATCCACTGCAGGAAAGCAGGACAGGCATTCCTGCAGCAAAGCACCAGCTCTGCTCTTTGGCTCTTAGGGAGGACAAGCCCCACTCAGGTCTTGGAGAAGAGCTTGGGGGAAGGTGCTCTCACCTTGTGAGCGTCCATCAGGTTCATGACCAGATCCAGGTCCCCGTGGACAGGCTGGTCCTCAGCTAACTGGGGCTCCACCTTGTAGAGCCAGTCCACCAGAGCCTGCAGCGCATCCATGAACTGCCCAGAGAACAGCAGGGCCTCCTCCAGCTTGTGCTGCCTGGAAAACAAACATCCCACTGAGCTCCCCTGAGCAAATCTCTCCTTTTTGTCACACCCCAGTGACCCCATGCCCACCCTGTGGCACTGCTGGTACAACCCTGGGGCCGGGCTCACCTTTCCACGGATTTCCCACACACCGTGTCCCACTTATCCCGGACTTCTCCCAGCAAATTGTCCAGCTTTTGAGTGTCATCTGAAAGCAAGGCTTTTTCTTTGAGGGCTCTGCCTGTCCTGATGGTGGTGTCATACACAGGCTGCTTCCCACCCAGAGTCTTCTGGAACTCCTGGGAAATGGGAGAGAGAAAACAAAACTGCTTCACAAAGCCTGGCCTTGGCTCTGAGGATTCCCAGATTTCCATGGCAATGGGAGGCATGGACGTGCTTTTCTCCTGTCCTGGCAGAGGAGATATTGCCCTGCTCACCCTCCCAACAGAGCCCCTTCCACCCTGTCCAGCACCAGCCTGGCTTTGGCAGAGCTTCACCTTGTGTTTGGAGAGCTGGAGCTTGATTTTGTCAGGATCATTGGAGATCTCCAGCTCTGAGTCCAGGTGATTCTCTGCATCCTCCAGCCAGTCAATCAGCTTCTTCCAGGCTTCGTGGAACTGCAAGGCAACACCAGCAAGGCTGAAACTTCACCCCATGGTGGTGCCCCCAGTCCCTTTGTGGTCCTGGGATCTCCTTCTGGCCGTTCCCTGGGCTCTGCCACAGCCTTGCCACAGCCTCTCACCTGCTTGGCTCTCTTCCTGGCGTCGTCAAGAGCCCGGCCCCGCTCCACCGAGCGCTGCACCACCTTCTCCCAGCGGGACTGGACGCTGACCAGCAGGTTCTTGATCAGCACCACGTCCTGCTTCTGGCTGAGGAACTTCAGCTGGTTCCCACTCTGGTCCAGCTCGATGATGCGATCCCGGTGCGCGTTCACCTCGTTGGCGAACACCTGCCAACAACCAAGGGTGTCCCAGGTGTCAGAGGAGATGGCTGTGACCTCGAGGAGCCACGGGCAAGGCGAGGAGCCGCCCTGGCTCCCTCCATCCCGGGGATGGAGCCCTCGGGTACCTTGTGCTCGTCGATCTGGGCCAGCACCGCGGCCAGGATGAGGCTGGGCGGGGGTGCAACGTTCAGGCTCTGCTCAGCCAGGGTCAGCCAGTTGATGAAATCCTGCAGGGAGTTCTGGAAGTCCGTGGCCAGGGCCAATGCCTCCTCCAGCTTCGCCTGTGGCAGCGGGGAGGGAGAGAAAGAGAGGGAAAAAACACAACACGGAGGGGTGAGAGCTCTGATCTGCAGACAGAGGCAGCCTTTGTGTCCCTGCAGCAGGAACCTCAGCGCCCCGGCCCGGGAACGCCGCTGCCTTGCCAAGGGGAGGGGGCTGCAGTGAAAGGCAAGGCTTTCTCTCCAAACAAGAATGGTCCCTGAAAGAGGAGCCCTTCCTCAGCACCCCAGCAGCTGCGTCACCCTCAGCTTCCTGGGAAAGGGATCTCCGTGGGGACGGGGCTGGGTGGGAGGGGGATGAGGTTCTGATGGCAGCAGCTGCGGCGCTGCAAATTTATTCTGGGCCCGGGCCACCACGGCCCTTGTTTTATCTCATCCCCAGCCAAAAGCTGAGGATGGAGTCAGCTTGGAGGAGACTTTGGCTTGACCAACAAAGCCTGCCTTTGAGAGCTGCGGGAGGCTTCTTCCCACCTCCCTGAATTAACCCAAAGTGCCATTTCACCCTCATTTTCTGTGCGATTTAACCAATTCTGACGACTATCGACAAAAAAAAACCCCAGGCTAACAGCTTGACACTCAGCACCACCTGACAAACAGACTCAACCTTTACACCCAAGGGAGACGGATTAAAAAAACCCCAACTCCCAACTCTGTGGGGAAAGCAGAGTGGCAGCAGCTGCTGTCAGACCATGGGGCAAGGCTGGATGCATTTTTCCCTCAACGTTACCTTTCTCTCCTCCATCTTGGTGCTGACCAGGCACCATTTCTGCTCCAGCAGGGCCACGCTCTGCTCTGTCTTGGAGCTGGAGCCGGAATCGTCGCGGTTGAGCAGCATCAGCCTCCCCTTGGCCAGCAGCTGGCTGTAGACATCCTCCTTGGCTTTGAGCTGGCTGTACAGCTCCTGCAAAGAGCCACCAGCCAAGGGTTAGGCACAGAAAAGCTCAGAGAGGGAACACGCCGTGCTGCAAGGCTGCAGGTGATGGGAACACGAGGCTGGGAAGTGACAGCAGGGCGACACTTTGAGCTGAGAAAAGGTGGTTAAAGCATCCTGATGGTTGTTCCAGGCATCAGGAGCAAAATTATCTGGAAGAGGAGACCAGAGCAGCCTACTCTCCCCATCACACACAGGAAGGAGAAGTTTTGATGCTGACATTTGACAGGAACTTGCTGAATTAAAAGCATATATATAAAAAAAAAAATTTTAAAAAATCTCTCCTGAGAAATTACCATGTGGGCATTGAGCTGCTCCCGGGCAGTTTCTGGCAGACCTCCTGTGGGTTTCGATGCCGACAATTGGCTCTCCATCCTCGTTAGCCACAGGAGGAAGTCTTCAATCTCACCATGGAAACCCTGAGCCTGTTGGGGAGCAGAGAATGGGCCCCGGATCAGATGACATCAGCCACCATTGATCATGTGCCAGGGGTAACGCTGGGTTTGCTTTGAAAGCAGATAAAGAGGCAGAGCTGGACGTGCCAGCGTGCTCAGGAGGGTGAGACTGGTGTGCCCACAACCCACAGGTGTGCCTGCTCCCCACTGCACTTCTGGGCAGGCACTGAACCACAGCAGTTACAGAAAAACATCCATAAATAATCCCAGAGTCGCCACAACTCCTTCCCCGCTTTTATTCCTCCCTAAAACAAAGGGAAAAAGGGACACCCCACTGCACAGGGGGGTATTGCTGACCTGCTGGAGCGTGGATTGCAGCTGCTGCTCCCTCTCCTCTGTTTTCTGCAGCACGGATTCCCAGCAGGAATTCAGCTTCTCCAGGCGGTTCCGCAGGCTGCTGGCATCATCCCCTGCACTCGACTCCAGCAGCTCGTTCCCTGCTTTGTTCACTGTCTCCACGGTCGCTTGGTGGGCCAGGACGTCGTTCTTCAGCACCTGCACGAGGTGGGCAAAGGTTGGACATCGCTCCTAAACGCCCTGCCTCGCTCTCAGGGATCGAAACAGCTCAAAGCCTTCGTGAGAAATTGAGTCCCGCCAGGGGAACGGGGCTAAAAACGGATCTGGAGCGGGAAAACACTCACGTGGTGCTTCGCAAGTTCAACCTCGATGACTTTGGGGTCCCCGTTGATGGGTTTTTGGGCATCCAGCAGCTCCTCGGTGTGGGTCAGCCAGGCCATCAGCTCGGCCAGGGCGTGCTGGAACTGGCCCAGCGCCAGCAGGGCGGCTTCCAGCTTGTGCTGGGCAAGGACAGGGAGGGAAAAGGGCAGTTTTAAAGGGTTGGGGAGCACCACAGCCAGTTTCATCCTGTGACAGCCCCAGGTGTTCACTCTACCTGTCTGTGAGCAATTTTCTCGCCCAAGTTCTCCCAGAGATGTTTGAGCTCTGTCAGTGGCTCCTTGATGATGTCTCTGTCTGTCTCATCCGTAGCCTTTTTTAGCATCAGTTCACCTTGGTGATTAAGCTTTTCCATCTCAATCTGCTGCTGGTAAACCTCCATTTTAAACTCCTGCCAAGACAAGCAGGACAAGAACCAGAAGCGGGTGAATCACCGGAGCCCTGCGAGGCGAAGCAGCGCCGCAGAACCTCTCCCTGCCCTCCCAGCTACCTTCATCTCGTTCATCTGCTCCTTCACCGTGCTGAGGTCGGTGCCCACAGGGGACATGTTGCACAGTTTGATCACGGCGTTGTCCAGCCAGTCAAACATGGCCTGCAAGGAGCAAGGACAACGTGAGGCAATGGCAAAGTGTCCCCCCTGCAGCTGGTCAGGGGACAAAGGTGGTCCCTCCACCACCCCACAGCCGTGAAGCTCGTCTGCCAGGGCAGCTCTGCCTGCCCAGCTCCCTCCTGCCTTCCCTCACCCTGCTGCTCTGAGCAGGAATCAAGTTTTGGGAATGCTGGAACCCCCAGCCTGGTTCAGGGGTTCCGTGTGGTGGAAAAGTCTCTCCTCCCACCCGAGCTTCCAAAGAAAACTCAGCAGCCTCTTGCTGTTGGGTCTCAAGGTAGTTTATTGCAAGTTATCTAAAAGATTTTCTCCTTGGGCTGCTGTGGTTTGCTCACAGCTCAGGCAGAGGCACACACACACCCTGACATCCTCTCTGACTCCCAACTGCTTCTTCTCCCCACCCCTGGGCTACTCTTATCTTTTAGATGGTGCATTACATGATAAATGTTCACAGTTTTTCCCAATGCCCATTACCTATATTAAATGGTGCTTTTCTATCTTTTATATGGTACATTACGTGTTACATGGTTACAGTTTTTCCCCAATGCCTATTACCTATATTAAATGGTGCTTTTCTACTCTAAACCAACCTGTGAGTGCCAACATCACCAAGAACATGGAGGCAAGGAAGAAGATGGAGGAAGAACAGGATCAGCCCACTTTCCTCCATCTTAGAACTTCTGACCCCCATGTACAAAGCAAAAACCCCCCTGCACAAGTGTTAAAACCCCCTCTACAATACTAAAAAAATTTCCCCTCTACTTTGTAACTACTCCTACTATACCATCTAACCCTTTGTGACTGGTTTGTTCCACCTCCAAAGTTGGTAACTCATTCCATGACTCAAACTCAAAATCACAGCTGTTTCCAGCTGCCTGCCAGGGTCTCAAATGCTTCTGACCAAGGCCTGGAACCTCCAAAAATGTCTGAGAGACATTTTGAGTTCCAACAGGGAAGGCCAATGCAATCAAATATCTGCTCCTCCTCAGAGCTGGTGGCTGAGCTCAGGCTGGCTCAGAGCCTGCAGATGCTCGCCCAGGAGATGCTTCCTGCCCTAAGGAATTGCAAATCCCAGCAGAACTGCAGGGAGAGGGCTCCCAGTGGTGTTCCCCAGGCCCACCCACGCCACACCAGCAGCCCTGCCTCTTACTTGGAGCGTGTCTTGGTACTGCACAGCTGACTGCATGGCTTCCTCCAGCTTCTCCAGCCTCTCCTTCCATGTTTTGTTTAGGTTTTCCCACGCGTTGTTCATCTGTGGAACACAAAATTCGCCAGGCTCCTCAACCAGAGCTCCCACTTGCTCCCACCTGATTTTCTCTGCAGGGGAAGCTCTCCTTACCTCATCAATGCTCTTTTTCACTTCTGGCTTCTCAGTCTCACCGCAGGCAAAGATCAGGTCGGTCCCGAGGAGGCGGATGAACTCCAGCTCTTCGTGCAGCCCGTCTGTCTCCTCCTTGATAGTCTGCAGAGGCACAGCCACAGAAGAAAAACCTTTATGATCAACCCCTCTTCCAAAACTGCTCCATGAGCAGGAGGGTCCTTCCTGCTCCAGTGCCCCACTCCTTGGCCAACAGCCCAACTCCAAACCCCAAGAGCAGGTGACACAGAGAGCTGCTGTTGAGATGGTTGCACAGAAGAATTCTGAAAATAATAAATTCTGAAATTTATGCAATTTCAGAAGGCCTCTCTCTTCTCTCTTTGTTTCAAGATTCCCAAATCTTGATTGTAACAGCATGCTCTTATACCTCCCCACAAAGTTTATACTTTACTCATTGGCTACAACAGATCAACACAGTGCTCATTGGTACAAAGCAGTCTCCACCACTGTTTTCAGCTAACATCCAGCTGCAGGTTTCTCTCATTTATCTTTTTCTTCTTCTCAGTTTCCATGTCAACAACCTTGACAGAATTCCTTTCAGGGGTAAATGTGAACCTTATCAGCTTCTTCTCCAGCCAGCTCTTCCTGGCTCCCAGACCAGCTGTCAGCCCCTTCCACATCAGAGAGCAGGAGGTCATTTTTGTCACCACCACCACCACCCTGGTCTGCTCCCACCTCTGGGACTAAAATAAGAACATCTGTATTTAGCTGGGAGCCTGAACTGTCCTGAAGATGTTTACAGGAGCGTTTTGTCAATACAGGAGTGAGGGTTTTGAGGTTCAAAAGGTACAAACCAGAGCTAGAATGGTTATGAAAAGGGAGCAGCAAGGCTAAACTTAGCAAAGCATAAAGAAACATCCCAGCTCCTCGTGGCCTGAGTCAACTCAAATCCACCTGAAGTGCATTTTGCCACTTGAAGCAACCAGCAACAGACAAATCCAAGCACTTTATCTCTGGTCTGACCAAAATATAAATATACTGCTCCCACGCCAGCCAGCCTCTGGCTGGGGCTGGGAGCAGAGCCCTGCAAGCCTCCACATCACTCCAAGCAAGTGGGCACAGAGCTCTGACCACACAGAGCTCCCAAAAGAGCTGCAGATAATGTGATTTAAGGTGAAGGACATGTGAAATCCACCTCTGGCTTTTTCCTTGCAGCTCCAAACTGCAATGGAAATAAAAGAACTCTTCATAATCTTGACTGACCGCCTACAAAACTGATTTACAGCCACCTCTGGCCACAGTCATGATCTAAGATCTTCCCAGTTGAGCAGATAAGCTGAGGGCAGACCAGCTGCAGGCATGGGCCTCACCTCTGCTGCTTCCACCTGCTGCTTGATGATGGAGGGGTCAATGCCTGGGCTCTCCAGGTCGTGGACAATGTCCTGGGTGTCCTTGATGGTTGTCAGGAGCGCTGCCATGTCGTACCAGAACTTCTCCGCAAGCTCCAGGACATCAAGGAACTTCATCTCGCGCTCCTCGGTGCGAGCTTTGATGTCTTCCCAGAAGAAAACCATCTGATCCAACTTGTCCTGGATGACTGTGGGAGGAAATGGAAGTATTCGGTGAAGGAGGGAACCTTTTGACAACGCAAGAGCATTTTGAAAACGCTCAGGAACAGCCAACAGAATATCCAGAGGGGAATAAAGATGGTCAGAGCTATCAGAGCATTAACTCTGGGAGATGCTGAGGGACGTGAGAAACTCCAGCTTGCAGAAAAGCCTTTATTTATGTGCAAGCTCGGGGAAAATTTGCCCACACACTCTCCCTCCAACAAACCTCTGTTCTGGCCACCTCTAGCATGAAGTCCCTGCTCACTCAGTGCATGAGCTGCCTGTTGATCTGCCAGGGAAGGTGCCAATTAGTGCCAATGGTGCTGACGGGCTTTTTGTGCTGGGGGAGGTCCCTCCCCTCCATTAGATGCTGAAGTGATGTCAACAAATCCTGTCCCAGGGGCCACCAGCAAGAGGCCAGCTGGGCTGAGAAGCCACAAATAGTTCTTTTCTCTTCTGACTGATGCCACCCTGTCTGTTCCAGATGGAAATAGGTGCATTCATCCATCCATCCATCCATCCATCCATCCATTCATCCATCCATCCATCATCCATCATCCATCCATCCATCCATCATCCATCATCCATCCATCCATCCATCCATCATCCATCCATCCAACAGACTCATCCTTCCTCCTAAAGCCAGGAGAACCTCCCAAATCCAAACACAGGACTCAAGCTTGGTCCTAAACCTAGGAGAACCTCCCAAATCCATCCAGAAGACTCACCCTTCCTCTTAAAGCCAGGAGAACCTCCAAAACACACCCCAGCACATCAAAGCCTCCCCAGCAGCGATGGAACCACGTTCTGGGGAGAAGCTGGGATGCTTAAATCCACCCAGAGCTACCTTTGGCTGCCAGGTCCTTGTCTGCTCCCTGAGAGCGGGCGATGAGCTCCTCCCCACGGCGTTTGAGGGCCTCGAAGGAGGGCTGCAGCTTCTCCAGCTCCACCGTGGAGTTTTTGTTCTCGCTGATGCACTCCCGGATCTTGTCGACCTCGGCGGGGATCAGGGGCGGCAGGCGCAGGCGGGAGGAGAGGCCCTCCAGGGTCTCCAGCATGGGCTCGATCTTGTCGTGGAACTGCGGAGGAGCGAGGCCGTCAGGCCAGGAGGGAGGGGACAGGGGACACCGCGGGGCCGCCAGCGCGAGCCACGGCCTGGAGAGGGGCCGGGCAGCGCCTGCGACAGCGGCAGCAGCACCGCTGCAGCAGCAACGGCACCTCTGCAGCAGGAATGAGATCTCTGCAGCAGCAACGGCACCTCTGCAGCAGCAATGGCACCTCTGCAACAGCAATGGCACTGCTGCAGCAGCAACGGCACCTCTGCAGCAGCAACGGCACCTCTGCAGCAGGAATGAGATCTCTGCAGCAGCAACGGCACCTCTGCAGCAGCAACGGCACCTCTGCAGCAGGAATGAGATCTCTGCAGCAGCAACGGCACCTCTGCAGCAGCAATGGCACCTCTGCAGCATCAATGGCACCTCTGCAGCAGCAATGGCACCTCTGCAACAGCAATGGCACCTCTGCGGCAGCAATGGCACGTCTGCAGCAGGAATGGCACCTCTGCAGCAGCAATGGCACCTCTGCAGCAGGAATGGCACCTCTGCAGCAGCAATAGCACTGCTGCAGCAGCAATGGCACCTCTGCAGCAGCAACGGCACCTCTGCAGCAGCAACAGCACCGCTGCAGCAACAGCACCGCTGCAGCAGCAATGGCACCTCTGCAGCAGCAACGGCACCTCTGCAGCAGCAATGGCACCTCTGCAGCAGCAACACCTCTGCAGCAGCAATGAGATCTCTGCAGCAGCAACAGCACCTCTGCAGTAGCAATGGCACCTCTGCAGCAGCAATGGCACCCCTGCAGCAGCAATGGCACCCCTGCAACAGCAATGGCACCTCTGCAGCAGCAATGGCACCTCTGCAGCATCAATGGCACCTCTGCAACAGCAATGGCACCTCTGCAACAGCAATGGCACCTCTGCAGCAGCAATGAGACCTCTGCAGCAGCAACGCCACCTCTGCAGCCTCCCGCTCACACCTGCCCTGCTCCAGCAGAGCACCCACAGCCACTCACAGAGCCGCCGCCAGCACTTGTCACCCAAAACACGGCAGCGCCCTAAAAATTCACTTTTTTTGCTGCTGCCTCGGTTTTGGTGGCACGGCACAAAACCTCAGCGCTGGCTGGGGGAACACCCAGGCAAAAAATGCTGCTGGGAAAGCGCCCGTGTTCGGTGCTGATGGGAATCTCCACGTGCTGGAAAGCCATCCCAGTTTTTCGGATCAGCAGGAGCTGCATGCGGGTCGGGAGGAGCTGCGGCCTCAAAAGCAGAACCAGAAAGGCAGGAGTGAGGGAGGGAAGGAGGGGGTCTAGCAGGGTTTGTTGTTGGGTTGTTGTAGAGAGAAGTCAACTTTGGCCTCAAAGATCCCAAACTGTCTCTGCTGGTGGGAAGGACAGCTCAGCACTGGGGCTGCTCTTGTCCCTCTCCCATTCCTACTGGGAACACCCCGGTGCAGGTGCCCCCAAAATCCCAGGCTCTCCCAGCAGAGAGGGAACAGGGCTCTCGGTGCAAAGTTGATCAGGACAGGCTGGCTCAGCCAAACAAGCAGGAGCAAGCCAGCACATCCAGCTGGAGCAGTGGGAGCCCTTCCAAAAGCAAAACCTCTGCCCTGCAGGAAGCATTCCCAGCGGAAGCTGAGACCAGGCGGCAAGGCGGCGAAAGCCATCCCAAAAAATGTGATTCCAGCCCCCGCCCCCGGCGTTAGATTTGAAGCACGTTGTGCTGAGCTGTGCATGGACCAGAAATGAAAAGTCTGGGTGTCAAATAGAATCAGGCCAGGGAGGGTTAATGAATCTGTGGTGGGGGGACTCGCTTACCTCCGAAATCTGCAATGGTAGGGCGCAGTCAACACAAGAATGAAATGGGACCATGTGGGGAGGACGGGCACAGGCAGCAACACACACAGACAACACATTCCACAATGGGAGTGAGAGATGAGAGGGGAGGGGAATGTGGGGGGGGAAAAACTCGGAGTTAATACAAGTGCAAACCAAGAGAAGTGACTACACAATACAGGAATTAAGAAAATAAACACCCAGGACGTGACAAAAACCAACTGCGCTACGGTAACACGGGGTGAAATGAAACATAACTGGGGGGTCATCAACCCTCAGCAGCAGGAGCCTTCACCCCCTTTCTGGACTTTAGCACCTCCAGTTTCTGCCCTTCCTTTCCTATTTCTCCTCCTGCACTCACCCACCTCCTCAGGAGATGCCCAGACCCCGGAGACATCCCTTACCTCTCCCATACAAAGCATCCCATGGCTGCTCACTGCACTCACAGCTTATCACAACTGAAAATTATCTCTTCAAGCTCTTCCAGGGGGCCCTTCCAACCTTGGGTGGATGCCAGAGCAGCCCCTTTGAACCAGCATCATTACTGAGGTCGTAAAAATTTACGGCCCTATTTACTGCGTGGAGCCTCAAACGCCTTCTCCTCTGCTCCCACAGCCAGCAGGAAACTCCCCTGGAGGTGCCTGACCACTTTATGCCTTATAAAGGGATTTTACAGGGGGAATAAAACCACATTCCAAAATCCCGGGGGGCCGTGAGAGGAGGATTCACCTCCCTGGCAGCCCGGCGTACCTGGGTGGATTGTGAGAATGCCTCATCCAGGGCCAGGGCCCGCTGGCAAACCTCCTCCTTGATTTTGGCATACAAGGCCTCAGCCCTGGAGTATTTTTCCTGCACCATCTCCCCTTCCTCGGGGTTGAGGTCCTTGAGCTGGGGCCCGATTTTCAGCAGCTTGTCGATGTGAGGTTTGTGTTCAGCGATGGACTCTCTCAGTTGCTAGGGAATAGAGGGTGGGGGGGGAAAAAAAAAGCCACATTTGTTTAGAAATCTGCTGCGAGCTGCTGCCTGTTTATTCCAAACAGCACTGCGAGAGCAGTGATGGTATCTGGGAGGAACTCACACCCTGGATTTCATGCCCCAGCATCTGCCAAGCACATGGCACTCGGCTCTTCCCAACATGGCTATGGCACAGCGCCTGGCACGGGTCCTGCCCCAGCCTCTGACCCTCCCCACAGCTCCACGGGGGACCCCACTGGGAATTCTTTGCTCTGCAGTCTCTATCCTAAAAGCACAAGGTGTTTTTTTCCTGCCATGAACAGGAAGGAGATCCAAAAGCAGCCAAGGTTTCCTTGGGAGCAAGCTGAATTTTGGTAAGGAGCGCTTCAACGTAACAAGGGATTTTCTTGCACTACACAAGCAAACTCCCCAAAAAGAACAGAAAATGGGGGAAATGGAAGAAAATTCAGAAGAAAAAGGTGCTCTTGCCCTCTGTTGATGGACAGGAGGTGCAAACTCCGCATCCTCTTACCCTCATGTCATCCTGCTGCTGCTTGAGCTGCTCGTGGTCGATGGCTGGGGGTGGCAGCTGGGAGATGAGGGCTTGGGTCTCCTCAATCCACGGATTCAGCTCCTCGTAGGTCTCCCAAAACTGGTTGACCAGGACCTGGGCACGCTCCAAGCGGGCGTAGCGCTCCGAGTTGAGCTGGCTCACAGCCTCATACTGCTGCACCAGGGACTCGGTTTTCTCCTAAAAAAATAAAACCAGGGAGGAGAGTTATGGGAAGGGATGCAAAAGGGCCCAGGAAAAGGGCCAGCTCCATGCTGAGAGCTGGAAGAGAAGGAGGTGCCTTCGGTGGCCTTCCACGCTGTAATTCCAATTAAAGCAGCCTCGGGAATCTCCCCCTTCCCCATCCCCAAACCTTGCAATAAAAACAGGCAGTAAAGGAGAGTCATAAATGTAAAAAGAGATTCCTGCTAACGCTGGTGGGAATTACTGAAGATGGAGTAATTTTAAACTCCTTCAGCCCGTGCAAGGGCTGAGGATTCACCTCTGTGCCCTCTGTGTGCCCCCCTGTTGCAGGAAATAGCAGAGGGGGCTCACCTGGAGAAGAGCTTTTTGTTCCTCACCGCAGGTGCCAAAGATCTCGTTGCGCTGGCTGAACAGCTCGTCCATGGAGTCTTTGTGCCGGATGATGTCGATGGAAAACGCCTGCAGGAAGGGAAAGGGGAGAGCTCAGAGCTGAGCCCCACCTCCCCCCAGCCCATGGGCAGCATCCTCCTGCCAAAGAGACCCCGCAAAACTCAGCGCAAGCGTCCTGTGGCAAACTCACAAACCAGATTCCTGCCTGGTTTCCTCATCTACAGCAGCCTCTCTCTCTTTCAAAGACCCCAAAACAGCTCTTAAAAATAGCTATAACCCACACCCAAGGTCCTCACTGGAGGAAAAGCTCCACCATCCATTTGTTAGTGAATGTTATCCCACAAAATGATGCTCTCCAGAGCTGCATCCACCAATGACTTTGCCATTCCCAAGGTCCACAAGATTAACAGTGGGAAGCTGAGCTCAATTTAACTTAATGCTCGATGGTTCAGCCCCCCCTCTCTTATAACACTGTCTTATTTTCCTTTTCTTTCTTTAATTTTAAATCCAATAAGCCTGCGTGCTGCTCTGATTGCCCAGGCAGAGGGAAGAAAAGGGCCGTTTATTTAAAGTGCACGTTCTTTCAGGCATGAGCTCATCTCAAAGATACATAGGGAAAAAAAAAAAACCCAACAACCCCTCCAGCACCTCTTTGTTCCACGTCTGGCTGCTGGGAGGGAACTGTGGAGTCCCTCACTGCAGGGAACAATGAGCAAAAAGCAAATGGAAACCACCCTCATTAATCAATAGATACATTTCTCTAAACCCTTCCTGCTGCCAGCTCCGGTGAGACCCTGGCAGGGCTTGCTCTGGTGGTCACAAGAAAATGCTTCCATGGGAGCAGTTCTCCCAAGGGAGACCAAAACAAAGCACCCATCAAGCCCTCAATGGCTCCTGTAAACAGATAGGAAGATTTTTCCCTGGAAAGCCCAACACTTGGATGATTTAGAGCAATTTTTTCCTTTGTTTTTTTTTTTTTTTTTTCCCTTTCACACCTCAAGGACAAGTGTTGCATCTCTCCTGCTGCTCTGAGCTCAGCACTGCACACCCCAGGGTAAAGCTGCTCCCCCAAAATGCATCCCATGACCCCAGCTGGACCACCCCTCCTTGCTGCCCACCCCGCAGAAGCCACCAGGGAGTGCACACAGACCTTCTGCACCTGCAGCTGAGCCGTCGTCTGGTCCTGCTCCAGGCGGATGGGACCCAGAGCCATCAGCTTCCTCTTGGTCTCAGCCACCCAGGCCAGCTCTGCATCAGCTGCCTGCTCGTACTGGCACAGGGGAGAGGAGGGACAGTGGTCAGGGATGGAGTACACAGGGGGAACGAGCTGGGGACAGGGGCAATCACAGAGGGACCCAGCAGGGACCAACACCTCGTCCTGGCGTGTGGAGGAGAAGGGGGACACTGGGGTGGGGCTCAGGTTTCTGACTCCACGCTGCCCTCGTGGCTCCTGCTGCTGGTTTTGGGGCAAGCTGGAGCAGCCAGCTCTCCCCACACCCTCCCTGCCTGCAGGGAAAGGGACATCCCTAAAAACAGGAGCATTTCCTTTGCTCCTCCATGGAGAACTGACTCCGTGGAGCGAGGTCAGGTACTCCCAGCACTCCACAGCCTCCAGTTCGTGCAAGACAAGCCTTTTTGGGGAGGACTGCTGGCCTGGAACAAATCCCTGTGCTCTCCCAGTGGGGGATGATGTTTTCCCAGCTTTGACAGTCACCCGTCACCAGTTTCACACCATCTACACCACCCCTGCAGGCAGAAGTTCACAGGCAGGATAACACAGTCCTGCTCCAGAGTTATCCCACCCCAAAACCACACACCAGGACGGGTCAGCCACCAACCCTGCTGCCACATGCTGCTGCTGGGGTCCATTCCTTGGCATCCCTGATGGGATTTGCCCTTTGGCTGGCTGTGCTTGCCATCCCTGCCACTGCCAGGGCCCCGTGTGAGGAGCAGAGCCC